AGCCTCCATCAAGAACTACACATTTGTGTCCTTGTCCTTTCCTATTAGTCTGTCTGCCTCTCTGTGGCTTATTAACCCTTCCCCGAGCCAAAGTCTACTACTTCTTGCTACTGACGACTACTGCAGTCATTTCATCTTTGACAGAAAAAGGGGCATCGAGGAAAACAGCTTTATCCAGTGAGCCTGTTTTGTTAAACTATTAGTAAAATCATAATTCACCTAAGTTCAACTGAAGAGAGCCCTATGGTGATCAGAATTTTCTGCTGTTGTCTGTGCTCCAAAGAAGCCACAGTAATGTACAGTTACAAATTGTTCATATTCAACATAGTTCACTCACTCACTCAACTAACATTTGTCCTAGGTAGTAGGGGTTCAACAAGTAATAAAACCTGACAAAACACATACCTGTAGAGTGCTTACATTCTAGAGGGGTGGTGGCAAGGGCAATAAGCATATTAAATTGTTCTGTCATTGTACATCCCAAGCTACACAACACAGATGAAGGAGTATGGGTACGGGATGTCAGGGTGATCAACATAGGCCTCACCAAAAGGAAAAACATTTCAACAACCTAAAAGGATGAAGGAGTGAGCAATGTAGACACCTAGAGGGAAGAACATTCCAGAAAGAAGAAAGCAAAGTTCTCAAAGCAGGAGGAGGCTGCCTGCTCAGACCAATGAAGAGCCAAGAGTCTATCATGGTTGGATTCACACAAGGTGGAAAGGAAAGAACAGTAGAAAGGTATCTACTCATTGTTCTCTGACTTCATCTTATCCTATCTCTGCACCAGCCAAGGGGTTCTGTTGTCCTCACCCCTTTTTGTTGTATTTCCCCACCCCTGCCTTTTTCTGGCTCAATGCTAGCTGGCTTCTCTGTATGTGGTCCTTCTGTTATCCACCCCAGAAACCTGGGTGTTCATTGAAGATGAGCCTTCACCTTACTCCTTCCTTCTCTTATTATGTCTTCCTTCTTTCTTCTCCTTCTTGCAATCTGTTATCATCTCCTTGCTCTCTCTTCACTCATTTTTCTCTATTGTTCTTTCAGATGTCTTGCGCCTCCTCCTTTTTTTCTGACAACTCTGAGCACAGCCTTTTTTAATTTCCCTCCCTGCCTGTCTTCTCACTCTCCCTTAATTTATCTCATCCACAGCATTTCCCTGTTTCCTCTTCACTCTAATTCTCCTTCCCTTCCTCCCCCTCTTGCTTCCCCTTTGTATTCTTTCCCACCAAGCCTCTGCTTCTGTCTCCCTCTCATCTTTCTGCCTCTAACAAGTTCTACATCCTGGGACTCTTTCTGTGTTTCTCCTTGGTGTGTATGAAAGCCTAGCCCTCCATCTCGCCCAGCAGCCACAATCTCAACTCACCCCTAGATGTACTGGTGACTCCTCCATCTATCTCGCTAATTCTGACCTCTTTCCACAGGCAAAGACCAGAATTCCAGATGCCAGCAACTTGCTGTTAACTGGATGTGCACTAAGCCTCTCAATTCCAACATATCTCAAACTGGACTCATTATCTGTCCCCATAAATGTACTCCTCAGCCCATTCACCACCCAGTCACAGCATGCTTCCTGAGTTACTAGCACTATTGTCCTCTCATGTGAAATGTCTTCAACTTATGTCCCAATCACCCCCAATGAAATCAGGTGTCAAGTCTCGATAAAGCCATCTCCCTCCATCTCTCACCCCTCTTGCTGCTGCCCTGGTACAGACCTTCATTATCTCACCCCAGGAGTATTATACTGGCCCCTAACAGCTCTCTTGGCCTCCCATCATTGGTTCCACAATCAATTCATCTTCTGAAATGCTGCTTCCATCAAACCTCCCTACTCTCGTCAAAAGCCATCAGAATCAAGCTAGCACTCAAGCCAGAATTCTTAAGACAGCCTTTGGGGCCCTCAAGTCCTGGCCTCAAAACTCCTCTGCATATTCTTCTGATACACCCTGCCCTTTGCCTGCCATCCTTGTCACCCCAGCTGCTGAGCATCCAGTTTTCAGGACTCTGCTGCTTCTCCACTCTGAAATGCCCCCCATGCCCCTTCTTCCCCTTACTATCATCCCTCAATGCCTAGTTTAAATGCCAGTGTGTCATTCCCCTAGCCTTAGCCCAAGAACTGTTAATCCCTCCCTTTCTGGTTCTCCTCTAACATTCTCTTCTTTCCTCTTTCCTGTCACTGATTCTCTTCTGCTATGAGTTAGCTGGGGACACGGCATGTCTGTCGCTCCACCACAAACACTAGAGCTAAGGAATAACAATCCATTTTTGTCTTTAGCGTCTCTCTAATACTGTACACATAGTAAGGACTCAGATAGCGTGTTATATGAGACTGCATTCTAGATGAGAACTGAAGTAATGACCCTGAGAAATCACAAGAAACAAAATAAAGCAAAATGAAAGTGGTTACCATGCTTGCTTACTATCCCCCAAAATTCCATACATTATCTATAGTATACCTTTTAAGGCTGCTTGATCCTGCCTCAGTTCATTCTTTGTCCTGTTTTGTACCTCTAAACTCCAAGTAGCTGATGAGTATATAAACTCTGTCATGGTCCCAGAAAGTTGGAATTGACCTCCTGCCTCCCCCTTTCTCTCACTGTGGAAAAACCAGTTTTACCATCCTATTCCTTTACTCCATATACACCCTTTTGACTTTTTCTTTACACTAGCTATAGCTAGACATGCTTTCTCATTAAGAAAGATAAAATCCTTCATATGTGTTCATTTTTCAACCTGTTTAGAGTCATAAAGGTTTACCTTTCTCTGAAGGCTATCTTTTTTGGGGGGAGGTGTGCAGCTCCAGAGTTTTACAGTCTTGGATCTAGCCCTGTAGACCAGGCTGGCCTCAAACCCATAGAAATTCACTTGCCTCTGCCTCTGCCCCAGGAGGGCTAGGATCAAATGTGTGTGCCACCACTGCCCAGCTTGAAGGTTATCTTTTAACATGACTAATATTAGGCTGACTTTAGAAATGTTTTTTAACAAAGACCCCATCTGCCTATGTAAAAGTTTTAATAGCTACTCTAAGTATCTGTAAGCAGCAGGTACTTCAGTGAGCACATGATTTTCACTCAGAATTATTTCTGTTTTTTTCAAAAATTGTTTGCAGCTCTAGGGCAGAAATCAAAGTGGGATTCCCAATGTTTGGAAACAGAATAACATACCAAACATCTCCTTAGATAAAGAGTTTTTAGGCTTAACAAAAAAAACATAAAAGGAAAGGCAGAAGCAAAGCACAATGAAAGATAAAAACAAACATGTTCACAATGTAGTGTATGACAACCTAAAGAGCAAACCTAACACCTGATGCCTCTACTTTCCAGAAATCATTTTTAAATTTTACTTTTATACTGTGTGTGTGTGCGCGCGTGCGTGCGTGTCGGATCCCTGGAGCTGGAGTTAGAGAGGTGGTTGTTGACCACCTCATTTGGGGGCTGGGATTCAAATTCGATTTTCTGTAGGAGTAGTACAAACTCTAGCCTTCATGAAATCTTGAAGATTGAACACCCTCTTAAATCTTGGCCTAGTAACTTTCCTCATGATTTTATCAGAACAGACTCCTGACCATCTGAAGTCCACTGTTGCTAATTAACAGTAATCTCTGTGCTCAAGGGGTAGAAAACAGCAGACACACATGCAGGATACTGAACTAAGTGGCCTACATAAGAAGTCAAGATTCATGCAGCAGGAGAGAAAGGCAATGGTAGTCTCAAGCCTAAAAAATAAGGCTTCTGCTGGCAAAGGAGGATCAAGACCAGACAGTCAATGCAAACCAGTGTTTCCCAAGCCAAGATCACTGAGACGCTGGTTCCAAATAGTATCTTGGGTCTCAGCACCACACATTCTGATTGAATAAGTCTAGGATTTTGTCTTGTCACATCCTGTCCAATCAAGTTACTGATGATCACTCATTATAAAGCACACAGGGAGGTGAAAAGAAAAAAACCTTACAAACACACATGGCACACATGCTTTCACACCAATTTGTTTTCACTCGAGGCACCCACATTGACATTCTCATTGTCTGCCCCCACTTCTCTTTCTCTGCCTCCCCCCATAAGAACCATAATATAGAAGGCTCCAAAAAGGAACGTGGAAGAAAGCTGGTAATCCCAAATGGCCCAGGAATCACAGGCATAAGGATATTAAATACCTCAAAGGATTTTCCCGGGTATCATAACCATGCAATTGTTAAGAATACCTGCATGACCCACGATTCCCATACTGGTCACTGCCTGGAAAGCAATGAATGGAACCACTGTACACTTTCCTCACTTTCAGCAAAGTAACTCAAAAGTCTTATCTAACTCATGATATGGACAAAGAAGAACATGTTCCACAAGCTGAAAACAGCAAGTATGTCTGAAAAAAAAAAAAAAGAGCTTTGCCATTTGGGAGGCCTATGAAGACAGACAAAGATAGACTGACTGAGATCCTAGGAAATGTATCTAATAAGTAGGCTGCATAGGGTGTGTAGTCAGCATAGTGGCCACACTAGAATAGGGGAAGCCAAGATGAGAATGGACTAATGGGAGAGAAGTAACTTTAAAATGGTGAAAATAGCAGCTAAGCTGAAGATGAATAGGTGGTGAAGGGACATCATGATGTAGAGATCTGAAGGAAAAAAAAAAAGAAAAGAAACAGCTCCAAAAGAAAAGAAAATGTGCTAGAAAATAAGAGCGGGTATGGGAGGCATAAAAGAGAAGCCCATGGCATACAGCAATCAAACGGGAAAAGTGCAGTAGGGGAACCTGAAATAGTTCACCATCATGGGCCAAACTGAAATACTGTGGGGAAGGCACTGCAGCTTCTTAGAAAAGGTGAGAGAGAATATGTTACCGAAACAGGGAAGGAAAGGTATATATAACAAGTTATAGCCCAATCCATGGTTGGGGGCACCAGGGGCAGCTCTAAAATGAAAAAGATTTTACAAAAGAGCACAGTTTTGTTTTGAAACAAAGATGCCAAAACAAGTAGATTTCACCACAATTAAAAGCAAAAGCATGGTCATCACTGCGTATGAGGAAGAGAAGAACATTAAAGGAGGTAACAATGCAAGACTATGACAAATATTTTATACTAGCGTAGATGTTGGGTTTGTATTTGTTTATCTATCGGTTTGGAGTAATTTTTGTTTTGTTCTGAGACAGAGTTTTTCATGTTACTCAGGATGGCCTCAAATTAACCATGTAGCTGACTCTGGCCTTGAATATTCATCACAAAGTCTAGCCTTAAATCTGTTCTTGAGACTATAGGCATGGCTAATAGACAATTTAAGGAGGAGGGTTGGGTCAGTGGTGACTAATGAAGAAAGAACACCAACTTTGGGTCCTACTGCTCCAATAGAAATGCAGAGCTTTGGGTAGGTAACACTCCCATAAGGAAGAAGAAATCTTCAAAGAAGCAAAGGAAAGTCTACCCTTACTATCCCACTTTGGGAAATGTAGCACCATTGTTCTGCCACCTTCCATGTGTATTGAACAGCACATTAACACGTTTTCCCATTAATTACATACCTCAAACTTTAACACCAATGAGGATGTTTTTCCCATTTAAACTGTTCTGTTTTAGTGACTTCCCATGGAAGGACATTCTTACATTCTGCTCTCTGACCCCTGTATTATCCGTTCACCTTTTCTAGCTACTTACCAGCTATCGGTACCTGAAACTTCAGTGGAGGAGACATATCCCAATTGCTTTACTGTAGCTCCCTTCATAAAAAACAGGTCCTTCTACCACCATACATGACCACTCACACACAAAGTTCAACTAGAAAATATCGACTCAGTAATTTAAACAGGGGATGGGGACCTTTTATGCTCTTCATTTTGTCTGACTAACCTATCGTTAACACATTCTAGCTCCCGTGGTTTTGTTTTTTGTTTTGTTTGTTTTGTTTTGTTTTTCAAGACAGGGTTTCTCTGTGGCTTTGGAGGCTGTCTTGGAACTAGCTCTTATAGACCAGGCTGGTCTCAAACTCCTGCCTTTGCCTCCCAAGTGCTGGGAATAAAGGTGTGCGCCATCACCGCCCAGCTAACTCCCTTGTTTTTTATGTCCTATCTGAATATTTCCACTTGTGTCTACCACCAGAGATCAGACTTACAAGGAATATTGCATATACATCCACTTCCAAGATGTGTTAATTCTTGTATTTAACAAGAAGACTAAGGAATTGACTGTATATGATTCTAGTATGAATACCTTCACAGACTCCTTGGGTACCACCATGTTTAAAAATAATGCCTATAAACATTTATGAGGCTGGATACAAAGGAAGGTTAACTATCTATTGAACACATGAGAGCTTACTCATTTTGATGAATTCAGTTACCTCCAAAATAGTCACCTTGGAAGGCTGGATAGCCATCTCAGTAACTAGATGACTAAGGCTTACAACTTTCTACATGGCTCCTGAGAATACTAACATGGAATTCTAAGAGCATTACATATATACCCATATACCCTTTCAATGTCTTCACTAGTGTAGGTGCTGAATCCCATGCTTTTAGGGGTGACTTGATATTCAGGGACATCTATAATCCATTCAAGGCCATAAGTGTGTAGATAGTAACCTACAACTTAGGAAGGTTAGGCAGGAGGATCTATAGTTTCAGGCTAGCTTGGGCTACATAGCTAGTTCAGAGACAGCCTGTGACACATATTGAGACCCTGTCTCAAAAAATGGGGTAAAAGGGATGCAATCAGACAGCAGCAGAATTAAACAGATGCATTACAGGACCCACAGCCTAAACTGAGATAGACCTTAGAGAACAGTTCCCTCTCCCTTTTCTCAGCCATCTCAAGACCATTCCACTATGTCCACTTATTACTATATCTGTTAAATACCATATAGTGGTCTCTATGAAGAACTGAGTATAGCAGAGAAGCACTTACAAGGATAAGAGGCAATATATTTTGAGAATGATGAAAACAAAAGTTTTAATGGTTTACTTACCTTTTCATAGCATGAGACTGTTTTAGCTTATCTACACTCTGCCTTGATTTTTCCCTATTATTCACAGCATTCATTTTCATTTCCTACTGTAAAGAAACTGATTTACTCTATCTAAGGAAAATACATCATTGTATTAATAGCTTTATACTAAACTCAGGCTCTAGCTATACGATTTTGTACACCTGGAGTTAGAAAATGGCTTAGCAGTTAAGAACACTTCCTGTTCTTCCAGAGGACTGGAGCTCCTTTCTGAGTACCTATGTCAAGTAGCTCACAATTGCCTGGTAACTGCATCTCAAGGGTGTCCAATGCCCTCTTCTGTCCTCTGTAGGCACTGCACTCACTTGTACACACATGCAAGCATGCATGCACGCATGCACAGAGGGAGAGAGACAGACAGACAGACAGACACACACACACACGAAGAGAATTAATCTTTAAAAAGATTTTGTACAACTTTTACATGTCACAGATAGCTAAAAAAAAAACTTAAGTCAGCATTGTGAAATAAATTAGTCCTTTTACACCAAAGCCATTTCACCAAGACATCTATGCAAATAGGGACATTGTGTGAGACTTCTAATTTCTGTTCATCCAAAAATAAGAGTTGGTTTCTCTCCATCTTGATCTTCAGCAGAACCCTGGGAACATTTAGTGTATCTTTCACACTCCCAACATGAAGACTTGAATTACTTTTGCAATGCTTCTATATCCTTCCTGTCATAAAATATGACAGTGGCCCTCTGGTGTCTCCATTTTAGTATAGTGTATTTATGATATAAACTTTTTCATGGAAAAGGGAGTCCTCCTCATCCAAGTTTTGCTTTTGTAAAACTCTCATAGACCATGCATATTCATACATATTAAGAGAAACTGTTATCAAGTTATTTTTTTCTGTTCTTACCAGAGATGATTACATATAGATCATGTATATAATTCATTTGAAACTATGTTTTATTTTTGTGAATTTCAAATTTGATAACGATTCACTCTACTACCCATCCATAGGTTTACTAGCCCTATCCTAGTAGGATCTAGCATGATATAAGGCACACAACATGGGCTCAATAAATAGCTTGCTAAACTATTAGAGAAAAACAAACCAGGCACCCCAGGTATAAAATACTAGTTAAGTCTGGAACAATGATATTGGCCTGCAGTCCCCAATATTTAGGAGACTGAGGCAGAAAGATCACTTGAACCCGCAAGTGCAAGACTAGCCTGGACAATACAATAAGACCTTGTTTCAAAAAGAAAACAAAACAGGGCCAGTGAGATGACTCAATGGGTTAAAGTACTTGCCACCAAGCCTTATGACCTGAATTTGATCCCTGGGACCCACATGGTGGAAGGAGAGAGCCAATTACTGCAAATTATTATGCACGGCAGGGTGGGGTGGGGTGGGGGTGTGTGCACACACAGGTACACACACACACACACACACACACACACACACACACACACACACCAGAAAACAACACGGGATGAAAGCACTTTTACTGCCTTGCTCTCATCAACTTTCTTTCTGCTTTATCTCTATAATGCAGATAATCACAAAACTAAAAATTGTGCCAAGGAAAATAATAAGATCAACTCCCCACTATCTCAGGAATACCAGTAGATGTGCGTTCAGCAAACAACCATAATATTTTCCTAAACAGAATAAAAATAGGCAGGTAAATCTCAGGGGTAGGGGGACAGGCAGAAAATACCAATGCATTTTCTAAGTCAAACAGAAATTGTTAATTTGTCAGCCAATCTGCTGTTTTCAATTGGCTTGTCATTGGTCTCTCCCTATATTGGCATAGCTAACAGAGACCCAATTGTTGACACCAAAGTCCACTCCAGCTGCATAGAGGAGATCTACTTTGAAGGGTACGGTTTTTCCTTTACCCAGAAGTTTGTTTTGGGGAACCCAGAACTTTCTTCAGTATTATTCTCTCCCATTCAATCAGTGATAAGCATCTTTATCACAAAAGCACATCAGCTCCAGGTTCAATCAGCTTTCATAGAATTTCCAGAGACAACTAGAAAGCCTAACTAGCCATAAATTAACGCAATAGCCCTTCACTAAAAGCCCTTGACTTTGGGCTGGAGGCATGGCTAAGTGGTTAAAAGCATATATTGCTCTTGCAGAGGACCCTAGTTAAGTTCCCAGAACTGACGGCAGGAAGTTTCATGGAATTTGATACATCTGGCCCCCATGGACACCTGCACTCACACACACACCACAAAACACACACATACACACACACACAGAGAGAGAGAGAGAGAGAGAGAGAGAGAAATAAAACAAAATAAAGGGGACTAGAGAAATGGTTCAGTTGCTCAGAGCACTGGCTGCTCTTCTAAAGGACCCAGGATTGATACCCATATGGCAGATCACAACTGTCTTTACCTCCAATTCCAGGACACCAGGCATGCAAGCAGCACAGACAAATATTCAGGCAACACACACACATATACAAAAAGAAATTTCAAATGAAATGAAAGTTTAGAGAGGTTGCCCAGATGTTAAGAAAATTTTCTGCTCTTGTAGAGGACCTGGCTTCAGTTCCCAGCACCCACATGACATCTCACAACCATCTGTACCTCCAATTCCAAGGATTCCAACACTCTCTTCTGATACTACAGGCACCAGGCATGCACACTGTACACACACATACATTCAGGCAAGCACTCATACATAAAAATAAAAATCTCTAAAAAAATAAACATTTTCAAGTGGTTATTTGGAAACACATAGATCTAAAAATAAAAAGTGGTATCATGTGCATATACATTCACCATACATGCATACAGGTTTAAGGCCCAGAGGTCAATGCCAAGCAACTTCAATTGCTCAATACCTTACTTTTTGAGACAGTCTTTCTCTGAACCTAGAAGTCAGTAGCAGAGCCAGAGATCTGATGGTTTCTACCTCTCCAGCCCTAGGGTTATAGGCACATCACAATTCCCAGATGTTACATGGGCACCAAGAATTGAACTCGGGTGCTCATACTTGAGCAGCAAGCACTTTACCAACTGGTCCATCTCCCAAGGCCTTTAAAAAAAATAAAGGTTACCTGTAGCCCAAAAGATCCCTTAAAGTTTCAACTGGATATACAGTCTTCAGTTCCTCCCCTGAAATAGTAAGTAGTGTCATGGTACAGCTGTTAAAGCAACTACCACATTCACCTCAGAGGTAAATGAAGCAATGAGTTAAGGTACTACTTCTTACCAATTAGTTAATGCTGGATATATACTAATTAAAGAGGATTGTAGAGAAAAAGGACAATGGGCTTTGATACTAGGGGGGTAGCAGAATTAATTTTTGTTTTCATTCTCCCACTGTATATGTTAAGTAATGTCATAAGACACAGTAAGAAATTTTGGTTTTAAAAACAGATTCCATGCGTTAAGTATATTAGCACTTACTACATACACTTTATGTTATATATATTCTAACCATTCTATGATGTTAGTATCATCTCCATTATCTAGATGAGAACACCGAGGCTCAAGAAAGTTAGTGACTTGTTTCTTGACATATCACTAGGAAGTTGAAGAACAAGGACACTATCACAAGTCTGTCTTTGAAGCAATAGATTAATTAGGATGCAAGCTCACCTGGACATGGTAGAGCCAAGTTCAACTGAGTAAAGACTCTTCATGAGAAAATATATTCAATCGTCTCATAGATCCAAGTATTCAGTGCATCTTCTCCCTGGGATTATATTTGTCGTATTATAAATTTCACAAAACTCAGAAAAATGAAAATATTCTTGCTGCCCTCATACCCCTTCATTAACAAAATTCTACTGTACCCTTAAATGAAAACAACACTAAGATTTCTAGACATACCTTGGTAATGAGGTAAGTAAATTTTGTTTTCTTAGCAGATAGTAAAGAAGCCTCAAACACAAAGTTCCTGCCCCATAGATTTCACTACTTCCCAAACATTTAGCCCAGGTTAAACTCTTCAACTCCAAATGAGGTCACATTTTGCCTTATTTAACTCTATTGGGGAAATCGAAAAATTACTGCATTTTACAAATAATAAGCCACAACTTCAAGTTCATCAGAATTCATCTACCAGAGAAAATACAACATTGACATCCAGCCTGCAGTTTACTTAAATTAAAAAAAAAAAAAAAAACAAGAGGTGGGGCATAGTGCCTCACACCTTCAATCTTAGCATTTGGGAGGTAGGGCACAGGCAGGCAGATCTCTTTGAGTTCAAGAACATCCTCATCTTCACAAACCCTGCCTCACAAAGCCAAAAACCCATTTAAAAAAAAAGGATCCAAGGTATTCTTCCCGTGGCCCTTGGAGTCCCTCACTCCACCCCCAACACACACTCAGGAGTTTTTTCTTCACTGTTCCTTAACATATCTACTCTTACTCTGGAAAAAAAAAACACAAACAAAAAAAAAAGATCAATTTTTACATGTTTTATGAGGAGTTGCTACCACTTTACAAAAAAAAAAAAAAAAAAAAAAGAGGGGGAAAGGAAAAAAAAAACTACAAAGGCTTATGGGGAAAGAAATGGAGTTACGTTTTCCTCTTGACCAGAACACAACTTTAGTTTACTAAAGAACATTTTCAACATAAAAGACCATTTCTAAAGTTATGAATAGCAAGAAAGGATATGATTTAGAACAAGGATGATTTCCTACATTTTACGAAGTGGCATGAATAATGCCTGGCTCATATAAGAGATCATATAAAATATTGCCCTAGAATCCCCTAGTGACAGAAAGGTAGATTACTCATTTCCTCCCCCTTTAACTGTCCTGACACTAAACATTGAAGCAGATACAGACTCAAACTTATTTCCAATGCTAACATTAAGAAATTTACTTTCCTTCTTTTAAAAAAAAAACCTTCAGGAGGAAGTGTTGCCCTTTCTTTCACCTAAGTATCAGAGTCCCGTACCCCCTCCCCCTGCCCTCCCAGTTTAATTAAGTAACAAGTTTCACTTGCCTTGATCTCTCCATTCTCTAGTGGTCATTCCCACCCAAACTCAACATGGAATTTCCACCATGGTTTCTCAGAGGCTAGCTGGCCCTAGGAAAAAGCTTTTTGCATCTAACAGCCAACCCAATCCCAGTCCCAGACAGCTCCAACTAGAATTCATAAACCAGTGTAAATGTCCAGCGAAACTCTGATTAGAGTCTTTTCTTGGTGCCCTTACCACCCTCCAATTCTGGCCCAAAGCTCTCAGGTCCCTCTTCTTCATCCTGTTTCACTCTGGGATTTCTATCATTTGCCTCCTTATATCTAGGAGCCCTCCCACTTCCAGATTGGAAAAGGTGGTGCATTCCCAGTGTCTTCTATTCTCCATTCTATTTGAGACTAAGACTCCTTTCCCCATTCAGAATCCTTATTGGTCTGGATTTCCTAAGAAATGCTTCAGCTCAATCCCAAGCCTCTGTTTCCTGAGTCCTCCCATAGTAGTGGCTCTTAAAAGTGAATTTTTACACTCCTCAGTACCAGCTCCATACAATATCTGAATGCTTCTTTCCTATGGCTCTTTATTACTCTCCTTATCTTTCACATTGTGTACTTTTCTGTTTCAAGACTGAAGTTTGAATGCAGGCCATCCCACATGCTAGGCAAGCATTCTATATGTCCAGCACATACTGTGCATTTAAATTTTTTAACATATATACTACCTTTACTTCTTTGTGAGTAAATATATTTATACTTCTCTCCAAATCCACTTTCTCCCTAGCTCTATTTTTATCCAAGATCTTTCTTGCTCCAGCAATTCTAGCACTAAAGTGTAAAGAGCCCTAAGGGTTCTTCGAACTTTCTTTAGAAAACATTACACTGGAGATTTCAAGGTGCTGCTTTCTCCTTAGTTAGACCTGACATGGGAACAGAGATGGTCACCTCCCTTTTCCCCTTCACTGACCTACAGACTCTCCTGAGTTGTTTTGCCTTCCTTCTTTCTAGAGGCAAAACTCTTCCTCTCTATGATTCTGTTTCTCTCAGCAAAGCTCTTCCCAACAGCTCACAGTATGAACTGATCATGCCTTGAGGTCCTCTGCCACCTTTACCAAGCATTCACTTGCCCATGTAGTGAATGGGATCACAAATAAGACACAGGTACACACTCCCAGAGAAGCCCTCCTTTGCTTACCAAGAGCCTCTAAGTCAGTGAGGCCCCCCACCTTCCCTGGAAAATCAAAACAGCAAGCCAGATCCATGAGTGCCCTTGGTACAGCCCCCATTTCTTCTAGAACTTCCCTCAACTTTGAACAATACAGACTCCAACAGCCAAGCTAGCTAGGACTCACTTAGCTTTCCTTTGCCCTATTCCAACAATTAACCATCCCTTCCTTATTGCTGTTTCAGAGAACTTGTCTACTTAATCCAGTGTTTTGCATCCTTCCCTTCCCTGTATCAAGTAGGTATCTAATTCTCTTCATCTCAGAGGCAGAACAAAAAGAAACTTACATACTCCTGGCAAAGCTGGTAAGAGAGTCAGACTCCCCCCCCCCCCACCACACACACACAGTTTCTCTGCTTAACAGCTCTGGCTGTCCTGGAACTCACTCTGTAGACCAGGCTGGCCTCCAACTCCAACTTTAATCTGCCTCTGCCCCTGCCCCTTGAGTACTGGGATTAAAGGTGTTTTCCTCCACCACCCAGCAAGAGACAGACTTTTAAAAGTCAGTTTTAGAGTGACTTTTCCTTGATTAGCCCATACCCATATGTGGCTATATTTTGTCCCTCCCCCCAGTGCCTCTCTTTTCATTAATTCCGGTGCTTAAGTGTATGTGAAAAATCCATTTTAAGAAAGTCAGTTTCGGTAAGCCTCTGTGCCAAGACCTGTGGCTCTCATCTCTCAGATCTACCTCAAGACAAGTGTCCTGGTTGGGGGGGGGGGGCAAAAAGTACTTGCTACCAGTATCCTGTCCTATTCAACATGGCCATGTCAGTCCTCAGGTATATCATGGAACTTTAGATTCTTTTAACTTGACTAAGTCCCTTGTTGCTCCCCCAGCCTCTCTTGCTACCTTTACTTCTCCGTCAAAGTTTTACAGATTCATTCTCAGCCTTTCACTTCCCTTTGGAGCCTCTGGGTGATTCTTGGAATGGGATTATCTCGTTTAATCCCCAGTGGAATCTTGTAAGTTTCTTTCCTACAGACTGTCATCTTCAGTACCACATGGTGACATCATGTTCAATTCAAGTACCCTAAAACTCTGCCAAAACATCCTTAGCTACACCACCTACAGTGTCCCCAATAAGAAAGGACCCTCAATCCCAACATTCAAGGGCAGGACATACTACACAGAAGAGCACAAGATGGCCACTAAAAAATAAACCCCTTCCACCCTTAGAATTTTATTATGAACCTAATCAACTCCCAACTCCAAATTCATGACCCATTTCATTCCCCCATGAAATGTCCCTGCGGTGTGATTCTAAGAAACAGCCTTCTAAGTTGGAAGAAGCACGGAACTAATCCTTGAAGTCTTCAAGTGTACCCCTGCAGAAGTCTGCTCAAAGCTATCTGCAACTGGACTCTACCCCTGTGTCATGGGGACGACCTCCAAATCGCCTTGAAAGTATTCATCTGTGGCTTGCTTTGCATGCCCCCTTCCCACACTCATGCAAAGAGCCCCAAAAACGCTGGGCTAGAAGAATGCTCACCAAGTGAAGGCTGTCCTCACCGTCTACTCTAGAAAACAGCAAGAATGAAAAAGTATCACCACGTCGACAGTTTGATCAGGCAACCTTGAAATTTTCAAAACAATGCAACAAAACCAGTGCTTCTGCTACAGAGAGGCGCGGGGAGCCTCAGTGGAACAGAAGGGCACCCCCACCGGCCTTTGGTGTTGGGCCTCCTGCGTTTGCAGCGTGCTTCACTCCCGCCTTTCCCTTCGACCACATCTTTCGATACAACAATCTCCTGCACCTCCATAACACGAAAACCCCAGCCTTGGTGCAGCCGGCTCCTCCCAGCCTTGCCCGGACGTCCCTCTGGCCCAGCCTTCCTCTCCGCGGGACCCCAGCGAGAAGGGCCCCCCTCCACCGTCCAGTTCACCTCTCAATCCCTTTCTGGCCTCCGGGCGTCCCCGCAGGGCTCCGTTCCGAAACCGAACCTCCCGGAGCCGAGCCCACGAGGCCCGTCGCGGGACCCCCCCCCCTTCCTTCTCCCAGCACCTCGTCCTCCACGCACCGGGCCCCCGGGGCTCCTCGTCGTCGTCGTCCTGGCTCGTACCGCCCCCCGTCGGGGACTCCACCCCCAGCCTGCCCCCGCCCGCGGAAAGACCCCCTCCCCACCGCGCGCCGCCTGCGCCCTCTGCCCCGGCACGGGACTCTCTTTGGCCTCGGTTCCCCGCCCAGAAGCGGCGGCGGCGGCGGCAACGGCGGCGGCGGCCCCAGCAGGAGCAGCGGCGGCGGCGGCGGCAGCGGCGGCGGCAGCAGCGCCGCCCCGGCCCCGCCCCGCCGCCCGCCGGAGCCCCACGCCCCGCCCGCCCGCCCCGCCGCCGGACTACTCCCCCCGAAGACCACCACTAAGCCCCCCCATTCCCCGGCCACGATCTGCTCGAATCCAGCTCCGCTGGGCCTGCTGTCCCTTCCTCACGCCCCTTAGGAGCCAGGGTGGGGGAACCCTGGGGTTCGCGGCCATCCCTCTCCCTCCTCCTCCAAGGGCCAGGGGATTGCCCCTGATCCCGAAATCCGGCCCCGTAACCGGAGCCTCCCGATCCTTTCCAGCCCTCGGCTTTCCTCAAGACCCCTTGCCTCCAGGCCTGGCGCGAAGCGGGTTGAGGGCTTGCAAGCCGGGTCTCCCACCAGGCTTGCCGGGGCCAGTATGAATTGCCCCCATCTCATCCTCCTTCAATTTGAGCACCCTCCCCGCCTCGCCTGGCCCGGTAGCCCCCGCCCCTAGAGCGAGGGCAGCGGAGCCTGGGCGCTCCGAAGTCATCCCCCGCCTTTTTTCCAGGGACTCGGATAATTGCCCCTGCCCCCATCACAGCACTCCCACTCCCGAACCCAGGCCCCGCCGCCACCTAGGGGTACCCCTTACCCTATGGTTCCTGCACCCCAGAACAGGGGAGAAAGCAACCCTGAGAGCACCCGTCGCACCTCCATCTGTGAGGTTGGAGAGAGCATTTTCTCCCGGTCTCTTCAAGACTTCATCACGGACATCTCCCCCCCCCAAAAAAAAAAAAAAATAACAAGCCCTTTCTCGCCCTGCCCTGTTGGCCAGGTTCCCTTCGGATCGTCGGATCCTTGGATCAGGGTTTTGGGCCAGGTAGTTCCGAGACCTTAGCCTCCACCTCCCTTTCTGTGGAGTGGGGTAATTCCTCTGGTTCCCCCCTCCAGTATCTACCGACCCCCGTTTCCATGGAGACCCCCGCCCAGCCAAGAGGAAGACTCTCTTGGATCGTGGTGAACAAGTCTCACCTGGCTAAAACAGAAGGAGGTCGAGAAGGGGATAGGGCAGGGCAAGGATGGGGTAAGAAGGTGGGAAGTGGAGGGGAGCTGTCCCGAAGGGAGGGGCGAGGACAGAGAGAGCTCCTGGGAGCTCCACGTCCGGGGACACCGAGAGGACGGCGCCCCCGGGGGGCAAGCTGAGAGGCTGGGGAGAGAGGAACGGACAGGGTTGGGGAAAGGCTCAGGATAGAAAGGAGCGGGTGGGGGAATATGAAAAAGCCGGGGAGTCAAAGGGGGTGGAGGGATTGGGGGAGAGAGAGAAAAGACGCACCTGTTCCCGGGTCGGCTCCGCAGGGAGGCTCAGGCCGCCACCCGAGCTCCCAATCACCCTCTTTCAACCACCACCCGCCTAACACTGCTGGGATCCGACGCCCCCCTCCGCCCCTTATCGCCACCGACCTCCTTCTCCTCTCACGGCGGCGGCGGTCGGACTCTAGGAACTGAGAGGAAGAAGGGAGGGCTCAGCAAAGCCGAGGAGAGACAGAGCCACACACTGGCAGCGCCGCGGCGAGCGAAAGAGTGAGGGGGAGAGCGGTGTGTGTGTGTCTGTGTGTGTGAGCGAAGCCTGGTGGAGTGGGTGCCGGGCGCAGAGCTCGACGGGAAGTGGAGTCCGGCCTTGTTCGCGGGCGGCGCCAGCCAGCGCTGCAAGATACTACAACTCCCAGAATGCTGCCTGGACGGGGGGGGGGATGGGGAGGAGGAGGCGAAGGGAGGGAGCAAGCATGAGAGGGAGGGACTAAAGCTAGGAGCGAGCGGCGGCGAAGGGGGCAGAGCCAAGCAGCCCCGGTGACACTGGGAGGGGAGGGGAGAGGAGGAGGAGGAGGGGATCGCTGAGAGAACCCAGCGGATTCCGGAGAGGGAGGCAGTGGTAGCTGTAACAAGCTGGGCAAAAAGATAGACTCCCAAGAAAGGCAGGGGCACTCAATGCGCGGGGCTCCAAGAGCTCCACGCCCCCACCCCGACGCCCCTCAAGAGGGAGGTTGAGGAAGGGAGATGATCAGGGCACTGAGGCTAGAGGATTGGTTGTCTGCCTTCCTCCCAAGTTCTCCACCTTATGCCCCGACCTGACTTCCTCAGGCCACTAGTGACAGAACCAGTGTGCAAATCACTCTTTGAACCATCCCCAGACCTCCCCTGCCCCGGTACCACAGAGCACACGGATTCGGTCCCCTTTACCCAGGAGCCTGAGGGAGGCTCCCCTTGCAAGCAGGGTGTGACTCTTCCATTCTTCCCGCACCCCCCCCCTGTCGCCGCCACCCTCCATGTCCTTCCCCGAAGCTGGGGCTCGCCTTTCTCTCCCCCACCTGGGAAGAATCCCTGGGGGGAAGCTAATACTCACCCCTTCTTATACTGGGCCCCAACCCACCAGCATCCCCTTAGCGTTGTCCCCCTCACCGAAGTAATAGTGGAGGTGACCGGAGTTGAACTGGTGTCTACTTCTCCTCTGCCACTAGCTGTCCTTCGCCACGCCGACCCTGTAGAAAGATACAGAAGCACATTCATGCTCTCGTATCCCACCCTCCACCTTCGCGTGCCCACAGAAAGGGTTCATAGTAAAGAGGTTGGTGGTGCAAGTGAGCTGAGAGTAAATCCCAGTCCTCAAAACCCCATTCTAGTCGTGAAAGTCCAGGGATCCGTCCTTTTCCTTAAAAGCCATCAAAGAGCCTGGAAGGGAGGGTTAAATTATCTAAACCCCAATGTCCACACGACGCCAAGCGACGTTACCTCACTCGAATATGATATAAACTAGGCTGTCCCCAAGAGAGGGAAAAGTGCACCTTCCAGCCCTCCGAGGCATGCCCATCGGAGATCCAGATGGCCAAGGATGAGGGGGAGAAGGAAGGGGTGCTCAAAGAGTCAAAGCATTGTGGTGGGGAGGGTCCGCGGCCCCCAAAGAGCATACTCCAGATGCTAAGAGGTGGGTGGGGGGGGGTGCGGCATATTGCAGAGGGCGTCTTTCCTCGGTTTTCCGGGAATCGCCGCGGAACACCGTCTAACACTGGGAGTTGCTTACCAGTCAGTCCCCTAGCCCCATTTGTGCGCATAAGGCGACCGGAGCCCAGCCGGGAAGCCGGGCACAAACTCCGCGGAAGCTGGCCTTCGCCGCCGCCGCCGCGCTGCCTCGGGCCTCCCTCCCTCCGCTCTCGGCCCCGCAGATCTACCTTCGCCCCCGGCAGAGGCCAGACCCCGCTCGCAACTCCACGCCCCTACTCCACCCCCTGCTCTCCCTCCCCTCGCCCTCTCCTCGCCGGTCGGGCCCAGCCCCTAGCGCCGCCCCGCCCTAGCGCTCGGTCCGGAGCCCAGCAAGTGCCCCGAACTCGCCCCCCGCCCCCACGCCCAGGCCAGTCAGGCCAGGCCTGCTTCCCCCCCTCCCGCTGCGCCCCGCCCCCCGAATCCACGTCCTACTTCGCCACCCAACTCGGCCCGGTCCGGGTTCGGCCCGCGCCCACGCCACCGGAGTCCGTGGCTCGGTCCGGTGTACGGTCAGCCACCCCGCCCTTGCCTGGGTGCCGGCCTGCGTGCCCTCGCTAGCCCGCCCAAGCGCGCGGTCCGGGTCTCGGTCCGGGTCGGGGTGCCGGCCTCGGTCCTGGCGGCGTTGCAGCGTCTCCACGAGGGCTCGGTTCATGCAAGATCCGAACCCGCTCAGGGTGGGGGCTGCGGAAAGCAAGTTTCTTTATCCTCCCCCCCTCCGCCCCCGCCTCAGGGCCACGCCGTTCCCGCCCCCGTCACAGCGCCCCCTTCACCTGGGCAGAGCCCCCTGGCTGCTGTCGCAACTTTGCTCCTCTCTACACCGCCCGGGAAGCGGGCAAAGCGGGAGTCGGAGGGAGGTGGCGGGGAGGGGGGTGCTGGGATCAGGCCGCTGGGCTCCGGGAGGACACGTGGGGGAGGAGGGGAAGGAGGAGGAAGAAGGGGGCGGGCCTGCAGTTCTCGGGGCTCCCCCCTACCAGCCCCGGGGAAGCCGGAACCTCGCCGGGCAGCCGCAGACCCCGCACTAGCCACGGGGGAAGAACTGAGCCACCTTCCCCAGCCAGCCCTCCGCTCCAGGAAGGGAGGGGGGGTGCCGCAACGCCGATCGGGGTCGGAGAGCGATCGTTTTCGCTCTGGTTTTGTATGTAACACGCTCTCCCGGTTTTGGACTCGGTCTATGCAGGAGGGAGGGGGTCTTGCCTGAGGGGAACGCCCCCGCCAGACACCCCGCCCTTCCTCAGCCCCCCCCCACCCTTGGCGACCTCCGTGCGTGGTTCTGGCGCTCGAGAACTGAGGCCGCGCTCAGGCGAAGCCCCAGCCCGGGCGCCGAAGTGGGACAGGTGCTAGGGAAAGGAAAATGCCTGGTCTCGTCGCCTGTCTCGCGACTCCCGCTCGGCCCACTCTTCGTGGCAACCTCCCTGGCTGCAAAAACCTCGGGTCACCCTCAGTGGACATCCCTTGCTTGGGTGTGGAAGCATCTGGGTTGGCGGGGAGACCCGAGGGAGGAAGGAGGGGGAACGAAAGGGCTATAAAGAGAGAAGCTTGCAGAGGAAAAGCTGGCTAGAAGAGGACCAAGGGCTTGGTGTCTGCTTGCTTTTCCGCTGGGCTCTCCAGACACCAATCTGAGCCCCCTGACCCTTCGCCTTTACCCTAAGGACTGCCCGCCTGGCCAAGGGAATAAATCCTTCCTGTGTTTGTATCGCAGGCCATCCCTGGAACTTGAAGGGCTTAGAAGCTTGTGGTCCACGTTCGAACTCTTGATGACTTTACATTAACTCCAGGGAGAGAGGCTTTGCGAAGGAGATGAAGCTGCTGGCTGGCTTGCTTTCAGTCTTTGGCTTTTTCTTAGCACCTCCAACCCTGATTTGGCGGTGAGGACTTAGAAGGTATTGTCTCAACCCAGAGGGTATCAGGGGACACGTCTAGCAACCCCTGGAGGATTCCGAGAAGACTATGAAATAAATAACAAGAATATGGAAAAGTAATCTTTGTGTCCAGATACAGTGATATTATTTACTATATATTTATCTATGCTCAGGAAGCCGGAGGGTCATCTGAACTAGAAAGAAACCCTGCAAGACTAATATTTTTCTCTTCTCCTTACCCTCCACCCCACCCCCACTCCCACCCTCTAGGCCTAGAGGTTCTAATTCTAAGCTAGGGGATGTTTTCTTGGTTTTTTTTTTTGTTTGTTTGTTTTGTTTTGTTTCCCCTTTGTAAAGACTTCACAGATGGCAGTTGAGACTTGCCTGCTATGTTCCCTCACCTGGTCTAAAAGATGTATATGAGTATACGAGGAGCTGACTAAAGCTATGATGGCTTTTCTATTGTCTAAGATCTAGTGTTCTGTTACCCTATCGCCTGTCCTCACCCACCTCAACACTAATTGCCAGCAATGTAGACAAAATAGGGCCATCATATTTTGCTTTGGGAATCTCTTCACTAGTTGTTTTACTTAGCCACACCTGTCCTCCAATACACACACCTATTTAAAAAGTATTTTGCACCAGGCAAAAATGAAGATCCAGAATATCTAAGTTAATCAACATAGGAACTCAATCTGCATTACTTAACAGGGAAATCACCTCCATGTGTCGTGATATTGCAGACCGTGCTTTAAGTTGACTGTTTTCACTGATTTTAATTATTCTGGTAATTACTAAATTGCCACTGATCTTAAGGCCCTGGGACCTCAAGGTTACTCTGCTCCCCATTTTCAGGCAGAAATGGATTTTGGACACATCAATTTGCACTAGTCTGCTTACTATTTGGCTGCATCATTTATCTGGCAAAATGAAGGTTGGGGCAAGATGGTTGTTTCCTGGGTGAAACTAGAGTTTTGAGCCCTTTCCTGTTGGGGGCCAGACTTCCTGCCCTACCGGAGATGATGGGAAACCAAGGATCAGCATGGGGAGGAGAGCTGTGGAAACCATTAAAGCATGTAGATACCACTGATTATTTTATTAGAGGCTAGCACTATAACATTGCCATAATAAGAATACCTTACCTTTGTACAGCATCAAAGTGTCTATCATGCCCTTTCATTTGTGTTATTCTATTTGTTTTTCACTACAAATCTTGGTTTTGTTATTGAGGAAACTGAGTGTCTTAAGCATCTATGAGCAGCTTGCTCAAGGTCACAGAGCTAGTGAGTTTTAGAGCCAGGAATCCTAGTAGTCCTGCCTCCACATCAACAGTTCTTTTCAATATAATACAACACTTTTGTTAAATGCCAAACCAACCTTTTTCAAGAAGATCGTTTTTCTCAATTCTCCCATCCGTAACATCTACTGACCCAGACAGAACGCTCAAAAAAGTACCTTGGTGCAAAAGAAACACAACTGTTAAAAGAGAGCCTAGTCCTGTCTTTCCATAACTAGAAGCAGGGCCTCAAGCAAGCCCCACTATTTGACCAAGAAGTAGTGCCAGCCTGATGCCATGTACTTTTTGCGTGTCCCTTTCCCCAACTCTAATACAGAACCTATGTATGCTTTAGTATCCTCACAGGGACACCCTATGAGCACCATAAACCATTGCATCCATTGCAAGAGTTATACACAACGGCCCAGCACAGGCTATCTAGGTGTAGCTTAGAGACTCAGGAACAACACTGGACTGGGCCCTGCCCTCCTGACGCTTAGCAAACAAAGCAGGGCATTTGAGGGTCCCAGGGTAATTTGGGCTCCAAACCAACCTTGGACTAAATCCACAAGGATAATTATGTTAATTCTCTGCTTTGTTCTGCAATCAAAAGCCTTGTCTCTCTAGTAAAACAGCATAGCCCTATGATAAAAAAAGATCCCTACTGATTGCGATCTTTAGAATTATCAGAATGAAGCAAATGGGGAGCTTCTGGTTGTCCCTTCCTTTTCAGCACCTCCATCGATTGAAGGTTAAGTCAGGTGTGGAAAGCAGCATCTCAGGACTGCAGAACAGTTCCTTGTAAGTCACCCTGGCTGAAAGGGAGGATCAAGTAAGGGAGAGGTACATAAGCCTTGGTGGGTACTGATGTATCACTGTGTTCTCCAGTGTTTCACTTTCTTTCACTCCACACTCTTATCTTCCATGGTGTTTTGCTTTCTCATCCAGCATTCTATCCTGTTTCACTTTATGTTCCAGGGACAGGTAAGGGTCAGGGAGGGTTTCTTGCTCCGATTGGTCATTTGCAAATCTCAGCAAATAACAAATAACAAACCCAGGTGCAAGCAAGCTTAGTGCTTACAGATGTACTCCAGCAGCAGGCTGAGTGCTCTGGGCTCAGTGCTAGCTCCCTCAGAACAAACATGCTTGAAGAAGGTCAGGTCTCGGTTCTCTCAGAACCCCTTAGTCTAAAAAGAGAGACATCATGTCTGGTTAAACTTAACTCTGTAAACAGCCAACAAACTTTCTAGATTTTGTTGCCAAAGTGGGGAAAATGAGGAAGAAGGCTAAGATCACCTCAGAGGCCTCACCAGGGCAAGCCACTCAATCCACGAAGCGCTCCCCATTTCCCCTAAAACTACATTAGCAAATTGTTTTGTTGTTGTTTTGTTTGTTTTTAAGACAGGATCTAACTGTATAGTTCAGGTTGACCTGGAGGTCACTATTTAGAGCAGGGTGGCCTCTAGTTCTCAGAGAACTGTCTGCCTCTCCCCCCCCCCAAAGTGCCGAGATTAAAGTCACGTGCCACCCAGCTGGTTTAACATGGTTTTTAATCAAGTTAAACCTTGTAACACAGGCTTGTAATCCCAACATTCAGACTGAAGTAGGAATGCAGTCAAAGCCCCGGTCTAGGCTACTTGAGACCTTCTCAGGAAAAGGAAAAAAACATCTGGTCAGTGGTGGTGCATGTCTTTAGTCCCAGCACTCAGGAGGCAGAAGCAGGAAGATCTCTGAGTTCCAGGCCAACCTGATATAGAGAGTGAGTTCCAGGACAGCATGGACTACATAGAGAAATCTTGTCTCCAAAGAACAAACCACATAATAAGAAAACAAAACATCTAAATTCGGGCAGTGCTAAAGGGAAAAAGGGTTCTAAAAAAGTTGGGGCCTAGAGAGATGGCTCAGCAGTTAAGAGATTACTACTTTTGCAGAGGGCCTGAGTTCAGTTTCCAACAACCACAGCAGGCAGTCACAACCATCTATAACTCCAGCTCCAGGGGATCTACTACAGTCTTCTGATCTCCTCTGGCACCAGGATTCACGTGCATACAGAGACACATACTTATACACAGAGTTAAAAATAAATCTCAGAGAAAAAAAGAAATGATGAACATTCTTCAAAAAACCAGTCATGGTTACTCACTGAAGACAAAATAAAGTCTACGAACCTTCACCT